GAATCTGGCACACCGTACATGCAACAAACACAGCCTTATGACTGACATAGCAAACCACTGCTATCCAGAGTGATGAGATAATCACAGAATCATACAACACTAGAACTGGAAGGGACCTCGAGAGGTCATCGAGTCCAGTCCCCTGCCCTCACGGCAGGACCCAGTGCCATCTAGACCATCCCTGATAGTTGTCTATATAACCTGCTCTTAAATATCTCCAGAGATGGAGATACCACAACCTCCCTACACAATTTCACTCTGACCGGAAGTTTTCCCTAATGTCCAGCCTAAACCTCCCTTGCTGCAGTTTAAGCCCATTGCTTCTTGTCATCTCCTCAGAGGCCAAGGAGAACAATTTATCTCCCTCCTCCTTGTGACACCCTTTTAGATACCTAAAAACCGCTATTATGTCCCCTCTCAGTCTTCTCCTTTCCAAACTAAAGAAGCCCAATTCTTTCAGTCTGCCCTCCTAGGTCATGTTCTCTAGACCTTTAATCATTCTTGTTGCTCTTCTCTGGACCTTCTCCAATTTCTCCACATCTTTTTTGAAATGTGGTGCTCAGAAAAGGATAATAAAAATATATAGTTCCATTCTCTGTGCTTATAGGGAATGTGTCCAAATTCAGAGTGCACAGTGACTCTGAAGCATGTCTATACTTTAGCTGCTACAGTGTCACAACTACAGCCATGAAAGGGTTTTTCTAGCTCTCCAAGAGGTAATAGATTCTTCCACTGACCCAGTCTTTCTACATCAAGGGTTAGGTTGGCCTAACTACGTCATTCAGGGCATGAAATTAAGTCTAGCTAATTTGATCTCATGTATTGACCTTGCCTTGAATTTGCCCTGCACAGAGAGGAAAAGAACAGGGGGGAATAACACATGTAATTGGAATGGCTGCATGGGAGAAGCATCTTTACCCTCTTCCCAGCACAGAGGTGGGCTCCATGATGACTCCAAATAAGATGGAACACAGATGGTAGAAAGGAAAAGGGAGAGGTCACAGAACGGAAGCCACAATTATGTGATTCCCATGCACCAAATCAAGTGCGTGCATGTTGGGGGGATAATTAATTTCACCATAGTTCAGCACTGGGCAACAGAGGCTAGTGAGGGGACTGCAGGAGTGGCTTCCTTCACCTCGATGGGCCACATGACTCGTAACCAAGATGGTCTCCCACAATAGTTTTACTAACTGTACTTTCTGACCTAGAATTTGTGGGATGTATGGCAGGAAAAGTCAGAGATTTTAAAAGAAAACAAAATATAACACTGCAATTTGTTAAACGTCTACATATAACATTTCAGGTTATTGCTGTAAATAAGTCTCTCCCTGCTTTCCTGGTTGTGCCTGTTTATCTACCTTTTTTTCTCTGCCTACACATATACCATGTGTATATGTTTGTTTTTTAATTGTATTTTTATTCTGGATGGCTTCATTTCCTTTCATTGTAAACTGGGAAGGTGCTCCCAGCAGGAGCAAACTTGCTATGTTAAAGAAAACCAAATGTGTATTAATCAGAGAAAAAAAGATATTAAATGTATAATTTTGTACAGATTCCAGCTTGTGTTTGAGTGAGAAAAAGTATCAGTTCTCTTTTTTTATTGAACCACAAGTTCATTCAGGTCCACAGGAAGAACTAGCAGTAAGCTGAATTCTACCATGTGACAATTTTTTGGATCTAGCAAAGCCCTTGTATAACCTTGGTTCAAGGATCAAATGAAGCTCCACTAGTATTTGCAACAATTCCCTGTCAGTTTACATGAGGAAGTTATTACATGACCTCACCAGAACTTTCTATTAAAAACTCTGGTAAATACTAGGTTGAGTTTCTGATTGCAACGCTTAATAACTATGCTGTTTCACAACACCCCAGTAACAAAATAAAGTTTGGCAATATGCTTTACATTTAGAAGAAAAGTAGTCCAGGAAACTGAAGTTAATGTGATTAGAAAAACATGAATCCTAAGTATGACACATGGACATGCAGTTACTCAACTGACCAAGTTCTAAATAATGAAATTTCTCCACTCTTCTAATAAGCCTGTACTGTTCCTGGCCTGCCTTTGTTTTCACAATTGCAACATACATAGAAGTAGTAACACAGAATATTCCAGGACAGTACAGTTAGTACTGTAGCATTTTACCATAATTTTCAATAAAGATTTTCCCCTTTCCCCAGTGAAATTTAGAGTAAACTTGACAATTGTTATGGACTCTGGAAACACACAAGCACTAACAAACAGATGATAGAGAATTTATCCAAGAAATATTTATTTTCCAGGTATACAGAAAAGTGTGCCTAAAGAATTACAGACCGATAAAAAACGCTGGGGGAACCCAGCAGGGAACATGTTTCTGACACAAAGGGCCTGATCCACCCATGCCCTGCACTATGTGTAATAATTTACACTACTGGAGAATGCCAAGAATCATTATGTAAAGCAACAGACTGTGCTCCCTGAATTCAAAAGGCACAAACTAATGTACTTTGGTCACATTAGGCATAGTAATAAAAGTAACCCCAAACAAGTTTTAATGGAAGTAATGATGGTGGATCATGATAGTCAGGGAAGACCTGCAAGATGGACAGATAGTGTGTGGTAAATCACTGAGAGATTAGCTACTGAGCGTACAAAATCAGTGGTGGATTGAGGAGGCTTGTGAAAATTCTGTTATGTCACCAGTATTCAGATATGAATAAATGGACTTAACCCACGTGCTTAAAACACGAGTGCAAAACATTACCATTCTTACGGCATATTTCTACTACACATTAGCAGCTGTGCCACTGTAGCACATCTGGTGAAGATGCGCTAAGCCAGGGGTCTCAAACTCCCAGCCCACGGGCCATCTATGGGCCGAAGCATATACAGGAGGCTCCCGACTTGCAACCACCCAAGTTCCGACCCCCCGCACTTACAACAATTTTTGTAAGTGCAGAAGAGGCTGGAAACCCCCGACTTACGTCCTCGGCTCACATTTACGACAGGCGCATGGCACCTATCGTAAATGAAGGTTCGCGTTATGACATCCCCGACTTGCGACACTTCCCCTGGAATCAATCACGTCACAAGTTGGGGGCCTCCTGTATGTAATTCTGTTTGGGAGTCCGGACGGCCCAAGGGGCATTCTGAGCCCATCCCCGAAGCTCCAACTCTTCAGCAGGCACACTTGCTCTGCTTCCTTATCATTCCTGTTGCCGCTGCTGCCCCCCACACTAGGTCCCCTCAATAATCCTCAAAGCTGGGTCTCTCAGAGGATTGGATACCATGGGGGAGGGGAGATAGAGGGAGAGTCAGTGATGGAAAGGAGCAGGCCTTGGGGGACAGGTTCAGATATGGCCCTCTGGGCCACAGGTCTCCCAAGCCGGACTGTGAATACGCTCTGATCTATAGATGATCCTCAGGCCAGGAGTTTGAGAGCCCTGCTGTAAGCAAATGTGAGAGCTGTCCTATCAGCTTAGTAATTCCATTTCTGTGAGATGTGGTAGTAACTATGTCATGGGAGTTCTCCCATCTACACAGTGCTGTCTACATTGGAGCATATGTGTATGTTAAAGTCGGTATAACTACATTGCACCCTTTAGCAGTGTAGTTATACTGAATTGTATAGCGTAGATAAAGCCTCATACATACGATGACTTTTCACACTCACTTTGTGCTGGCCTGACTACACTAGGTGCAAGACAACAATAGATCAAGTCCAAGACTCCTCACTGTTGAGAAGTACAAGCTTAGGTGAGGTGCAAAAGTTGCACCAGTGAAGTTTAGCTGAGTACAGACCCATGAATTCCCCACTCTCATTTCAGTCTATGAAAAATCTTAAAAAACAACAAATAGTCCCACAGCACCTTGAGAGACTAACAAAACACATAGATGGTGTCATGAGCTTTTGTGGGCACAACCCACTTCTTCAGATGAATGGAGTTACGAGGTCCAGGCTTTCAAATTTGCAACCTGGACCGTTTAACTCCATTCATCTTAAGCAAAGGATTGTGACCACAAAAAGCTCACGACACCATCCACATTTTTTTTTTTTAGTCTCTAAGGTGCTGTGAGACTATTTGTTGTTTTTTAAAGTTTTTTTCCAGTTACAGACTAACACAGCTTCCCGTCTGAAATGTCAGTCCTATGGCAGCGGTCAGCAGGGGCTACATGAAGCCCACTGGGGTCCTCTGCGTGGCCCGCAAGACTGTTGCCCACGCACAGAGATTCTGCTGGTTTCCGTCCGTGGTTTTTCTCCGACTGGTATTACTACAGTGCCAGGCACGTGGCGCAAGGCCACGGGCGGTGCGGTGCGCGCCGACGGCACGGGCCATTGTGAGAGCCGCGTGCGTCCGGTCGAAGCGCTGCGACGGGTCCGTCGGCTCATCCCGCCAACTCCAGGGACACAGGCACAGTTGGCAAAACTACCCTCTCGCGGGAGGCCGCCTTGCTTGCGACAGTCTTGCGGCCCCTAGTGCCAGGCACGTGGCGCAAGGCCACGGGCGGTGCGGTGCGCGCCGACGGCACGGGCCATTGTGAGAGCCGCGTGCGTCCGGTCGAAGCGCTGCGACGGGTCCGTCGGCTCATCCCGCCAACTCCAGGGACACAGGCACAGTTGGCAAAACTACCCTCTCGCGGGAGGCCGCCTTGCTTGCGACAGTCTTGCGGCCCCTGAGAGGACGAGCCGCTCCTGCCGCCTGCTCACGCGCCTCGCTTGCCCACGGCCCGTCCGCGGGGC